GCATGATGGCAAACACTCATGATATACAAATGAATTAAAAATTTTTAAAAAATGTATAGATTTCATGTTACATATACTTCAATGCAACTCAGTTAAAATTTTCTACTTTTAAAAATATTTTATTTATTATTTTATTTTATGTGTATGATCATATTGCCTGCCTGTATGTAAGTGCACCCATGTCATGCAACGCATGCAGTGGACGGAAGAAGCCATTGGATCCCCTGTTACTGGAGTTACAGAGAGTTGTTAGCTGCCATGTGGGTGCTGGGATTCAAACCTGGGTCTTCTGCAAGAACAATCAGTGTCCTTAACTGCTGAGATATCTCTCCATATGTATATATGTATTATATATACATATGGTACATATACATGGCTATAGAGGCCAAAGGTCGATGTTGGGTTTTTTCTTCAGTCACTCTCCACATTAATCTTTCAGACAAGGTGTCTTGCTAAACCTGGAGCTCATCCATTCAGCTAGACTGACTGGCCAGCGAGCCCCAGGAATCCTCCAGTCTCCACTACCCTAGCACTGAGATTATAGGTATGTGCTATCACATCTGGTTATTTATGTGGGTGTGGAAATCTGAATTTGGGCTCTCATGCTTGGGCAGCAAATACTTTACTGATGACGCCATCTCTCCAGCTCCTATAAATTGTCATTGTATACCATTTTGTTCCAACCTTAGCATCTTAATTTAAAAAAGCACTGGTGAACTGTTTTCCTACTAATTTTGAGTTACTGTAAAATGTACAAATTCTGCCAGCAGTTCAACACTTAAATAGATTAAATCATCACTGACACTTGGTAGATTTCAGATAGTGAAAATAACTAAAATAATTAGTGCAGTATACTGAACTGATCAACATAAAGTGGAATTTGAAAAACCTGGCTGCAAGATTGTTACTAACGGTATAGTGGCTCTGATCTCAGCAGATTGCCAGAGTGCCAAGTTCTGGCCTCCCTCTGGCAGAAGGCCCGAGAACACAGGGGACTGCCTGAGAGGCCCCAGATCCTGCCTCCACATGGTGGTGAGCATCCCCTAAATGTGCCATACCCATCCCCCTATCTGGGACTTTGTGAGGCCCCTCCCAAGGCCCCAGGGCAGATCTGGCTTTGGTAGGCTAAGGCTGAGATCCTAGCAGACAGCCTGAGAGGGTGAGTTTCAACCTCCATTGGTGTAGTGGCTCTGATCTCAGCAACACCACCAGAGAGTGCCAAGTTCACACCTAGGGGCTGAGAATGCAGGTGACTGCCTGAGAGCATCCAGATCCTGCCTCCACAGTGGTGAAGGAAGCCCGAGTGTACTTGACTGGAACCTGACTTGGGCTTCTGTGGGTTGTCCTGAATAGCTGATCTGAAGCCATCAGTTCCCTCCAAATTAAACCTGAGAGAACCTGAACCCTGTACAAACCAGCTTTACATAACCAATAAAGAAAGGATCTAGGCACCCAGATAATACAAACAGAAGCATACTTCAACTTAATTCTCATATCAGAATCATAAACAACAAAAGAAATTCACATGCCAAAATCACAACCAAAGAATAATAAAATGGAAAGCCAAAACATTACATCCACACCAAATTCCACTCTTCTACCAATCTTGTAGAAGAGTTCTACAAGGAGAACCGCCTATAGATAACCCAGGACACTGAATTTAAAAGAACAGTCATGAACATGATCAAGGAATTCAATGAATTTAAAGAACACACGAACAAACAAATCAAAGAAATAAAAGTAGATAGGGATAAACTTCTGAATGAATTCACAAAAGAGATAGAAACATTGAAGAAAACTCAGGCAGAAATGAAGAAGGAAGTGCAAAACTCAATAAGTCAATTTGAAACAGGGGAAAGCCTCCCTGCTACAATGAATGAAGTGGAAAACAGAATATAAACACTGGAGGATAAAGTTGAAGAATTGGACCACTCAAGCAAAGATTATGGAAAAATTTTTTTAAAAACACAGGAATGGAATATGCAAGAGATCTGGGACACCATGAAAAGACCAAATCTATGGATCATAGGAATAGAGGAAGGAGAAGAATTTCAGGATAATGATATTGACCAGATCTTAAACAGGATTGTGGAAAAGAATTCCCAAAATTAAGGAAAGACATCCCCATACAAGTACAGAAAGAACATAGAACACCAAATAGGATCAGAAAAGACACTCCTCATGACATATCATAGTAAAAATACTAAATGTACATAACAAAGAGAGAATACTGAAAGCAGTAAAAGTAAAAGTCACAAGCAACAAGTCACATACAAAGGGAAGTCCATCAGAATTAGAGCTGACTTATCAATGCAAACTATGAAAGCCAGAAAACCCTGGACCAAGGTATTTCCAGTTCTACAGGACAAGAGATGCCAGCCCAGAATACTTCACTCAGCAAAAATGTCTATTATAGTTGAGGGGGAAAGAAAAATCTTCCATGACACAAATAGCCTGAAAGAAGACATGTCCACCAAACCAGCCCTTGAAAGAATACTGGAAGCAATACAGAGAGCAGAGAGAGAAACAACTATACCCCAGGGGCCACAAAACAAAATAAATAAAGATATAATCAAGAAAACACAAAATTGGACAGAGAGCACAAACACCAATCAAAACAATGACAACCAATACACATCTTTCAATAATAACCTTAAATATCAATGGACTGGACTCCCCAGTCAAAAGACACAGGCTAAGTGAATGGATTAAGAAACAAAATCCATCTCTTTGCTGCCTGCAAGAAACACATCTCACCTTCAAGGACAGGTACTACTTTAAGGTAAAAGGATGGAAAAGAATATTCCAAGCAAATGGCACTAGAAAACAAGCAGGGGTTGCAATTCTAATATCTAACAAAATAGACTTCAAAGTAAAACTAATCAGAAGAGATAAGGAGGGTCACTTCATTCTGATCAAAGGAACAGTTAACCAAGAAGATATTACAATCCTTAACATATATGCACCAAATTCTGGTGCACCCAAATTCATAAAAATAATACTATAGGACTTTTAAGACACAGATTAACTCCAACTCAGTAATAGTAGGAGACTTCAATACCCCACTGTCTCCACTAGATAGGTCAACAGGGCAGAGAGTTAACAGAGAGACA